AGCATGGAAGGTTTCTCCGAAGGGCTTAGGCGACCCGTCCTCCTACTCCTCCCCCTCCTCCTCCTCCTCCTCCTCTCCTCCTCCTCCGCCTCCGCCGCCTCCGCCTACCGCCTCCCTCCTCCTCCTCCTCCTCGTCCTCCTCCTCCTCCGTCTCGTCGTCCCTCCCCCCCCTCCTCCTCGTCTTCCTCCTTCTCCTCGTCCTCCTCCCCCTCCCCCTCCTCGCCCTGCCCTCCTCGGGTCGCCTTTGGCCCCGGGGGAAACCGTCCACCTGAGCAGGGGACCGACTGCAGAATCGATTTTACCCCAGACTCCATTTCCTTGCCAAAGCCATGCAACAGAAACGTAGAATGCTTCACTGTCTCGGCGAGACAGTCAATTTTGGGGTGAATCTGCTTCGTAGTCGAGCCCCTATTCGTACCGTGTCGTTGAAGGTCTGGGCAGCAGCCGCCGCCCTCCCGGGCGCGCGCACTTCCCCCGGCCGGGCCCCAGGTGGCGCAAGTGGATCGCGGCCGCGGCGGCGGGCTCCGTGGCTCTCCTCTCGTCCGCCGGCCTGCCGAAAGTCGGGGTCAGTCAGAGGAGAAGCACGGGCTACCACCACCGAGAACCTATCAGTGGGGGGCCGACCCTTGGGCTGACCGGCTTGAAACAGATCCCTGTCTGGCATCACCCGGCCTGGGGGATTCCCTCAGCTTTTGAGGGCACATCCCTAGGCCCTAGGGTTGTCGTCGCCCTGGGCTTGCCGATCTTGGGGATGGGGACGCGGTCGAGGCTGGTCATGGGCGGTGGTACGCCCGAGCGTCACCCCAGTCGAAGACGATGCTCAGGCATGCCACCGCCCAGGGACCGGTCCCTCACCGATGGGTTCTCGGTGGCGGTGGTCTATGTTCCTCCTCTGAGTCGGGGGCCTCGCGGCGGCCTGGCCGCCTCTCGATAGCCTGGGGGGGGGGTCGTGCGGCCCCTGAGATCCGACGCTGCGCGAAAAAGTGTCGCGGCATCGCGAGCCATCGCGACCAGAGCAGCGTTTTCCCAGCCGCCGTGGTTCAGGAGAGGAAAAAACACACAGACACAATTAATCCTCGATTCCCCAGAAAATATAGGAAAATATGGGAAGTGGGGGGGGAAGACAAAAACCCAGAAAATATGGCAAAATATGGGGAATATTTTTATGTGTGTGTGTATTTATTTGTGTGTCCTGGGGCCCCTTCAGTGGTTGTCCCGGAGCCCGAAGGCCAGGCGGAGACGCTCGGGGTGAGAAAGATTGGCGGAGCGCAGAGGGGGGTTAGGTTTACTAGAGAGAGGCTTCTTCGTAGAGTCGGCATCGCTTCACCGATCCCCATCCCCTCTCCATCCCCGTCCAGACCCCCACCATCCCACCACCCTAGTTGGGGATATGCCCCTCGAGACCCAAAGGGAACAGCCTATATCCCCATCTAGGGGGACAAATCGGCCAGTGCGGCCCAGGCCACGCCCGTGGGGACAGGGATCAGTTAAATGATGCTCATAAAAAAGGCGCAGGCCTTATCTATAGATGTAAGGCCCGCGGCTTCCAAGAGCCAGCCTCCTTCTAAGAAGCCTTCTCCCCTCCCCTTGCCCCCCTTCTGCGCGCCGCCAATATTGCAGCGCCCGGACCTCAGGGGCCCAGTGGATCCAGACGCCGAGCAGGCCGACCCCTCCTGCTCCCCTGGTCTCCTCGCGCTGCGGGAGAGTCGCGGCGGCTGGCTTCTGCCGTTTCGGGTCTCCTGCATAGTAGCTTGTCTTGCTGAGCGGATTCTTGATGGCGCCGGGGCTCGAAAACTGCACCAGGGGGCCGAAATTTAGGAATAGCCGAGGTTGACGCATTCATATCGTCGGAGATTCGGGGATGTCTGGGCCACCCTCGAGGCACTCGTCTGGGCGTTGACTCACATACGTCTCTCGTCCGCGAGCCTGGGGGGAAGTGAGAAGGGGAGGGCCTTGCCAGAAGGCTAGGAAGCCCCCCCTCCGTCCGAGAAGTTTCCCGAGCCTCCCCCGAAGGCACGGGGGAAATTTCTGAGAAGGTACGAGGGTTTCTGAGACGTCTGGGACTTCGCCCCCTGCTCCTGTCCATGGCGTACCTTGTCCTGTGCAAGATCTTCGGCACCGCCTGTACTCTGCACCCTCCGGCCGCCTGAGGCCCCGCCCGCCCGCGCCTTGTCTCCCCAAGTAGGGCTTCGCGCGCCCCGCCTAGCTCTTGACCGGAAGGGGCCCGCTCCCGACCCGCCGACCCAAAAAAGTTTCTGAGACGTCCCGCCGACTTCTGAGAAGGCCTTCTCCTTCTCATTCTTCCCCTCGCTCGCCGCCGACAGGTCGCCCGCGGGGGCGCGAAGATGGTCGCGCTCCGTGCGACGACGACGACGACGACGACGACGACGACGACGACGACGACGACGACGACGACGACGACGACGACGACGACGACGACGACGACGACGACGACGATCGCGCCCGTCGTGGAAGGGGGCCACCCCTGGAGGGGGCCGCCCGGCTGCTCCCAGTGGGGGTCCGCGGGCTCCAGGGGCAGCCGAGGCCTCTTCCTCCCTCCCTCCTCTCCCTCCTCCCTCCTCCTCCTCCTCCTCCCTCCTCCTCCTCCTCCTCCTCCTCCTCCTCCTCCTCCTCCCTCCTCCTCCTCCTCCTCCTCCTCCTCCTCCTCCTCCTCCTCCTCCTCCTCCCCCTCCCTCCTCCTCCTCCTCCTCCTCCTCCTCCTCCTCCTCCTCCCCCTCCTCCTCCTCCTACCTCCTCCTCCTCCTCCTCCTCCTCCTCCTCCTCCTCCTCCTCCTCCTCCCTCCTCCCTCCTCCTCCTCCTCCTCCCTCCTCCTCCTCCTCCTCCTCCTCCTCCTCCTCCTCCTCGTCCTCCTCCTCCTCCTCCCTCCCCCTCCTCCTCCTCCTCCTCCTCCTCCTCCTCCTCCTCCTCTGGCAGGTCCAGGACCAGCCCAGACCCCCTCGGGCAATGAACAAATAATGACGGAAGGTTTTTCGCTATTTTCGGCCTCCGGGGGTCCTCATTGGGCCTCGGGAGCGGCAGGAAACGACTCGGGAGGAAAAGCTGGTCCAGGGGAACGGGTTGAGACCTCCGAGGGTCGATGTTATGACAAAACAAATCATGACGTCGGGGGTCTGGGGGCGAGTCGCTCCAAAGCGCCCCAGAACGTTTCCAGACGTCCAATGTGTTGCAAAATTCGAGGCGTCGCTGGGCCCCAGGACCGTCCACGAAACGATACGGGACGAAAGGTTTGTCTCAGGGAAGTGAAACTGTTGCAAATGTCAGGTTTCAGGATCATGAATGGTGTGGAAGTCTCAGGCGAAACACCCGGCCCGCCCTACGAACACGTCTGTTGGTGCGATTGGGAGGCGTTTTTGAGAAGGAAATGGGATGGATAAGGAGGAGGAGGTGGAGGAGGAGGAGGATGAGGAGGAGGAGGGGAGGAGGAGGAGGAGGAGGAGGAGGAGGATGAGAAGGACGAGGAGGAGGTCGGCCAGTGTAAGCCCAATCCAATGATGTTGGAATAAACCCTCCATTCAAGCTCCCGCTTCATAGGTTCCTACAATATTCTCATTGCGGGAATTGCTCCATTGGACGACAGCCGGCTGAAATCATTCAATCGTACCATAACACCTTCTCGGACTTCGGCGCCGCGAATCAACGTGGCTGTTGCGTCCCGACAGTCAAGAAAGAATCGTGCCAGAACACCATACTGGGGACTTCACCGCGAAACAACGTGGTTGTTGCGGCCTAAATCTTGCCAGAGTGCCCCTCTTGGGATTTCAACCATACGTATCGTTGAAACTGTTGCGAACTTTCAAGACGAATGTGCGCGGCGCTCAGGTGAGAGCAGCATTTTGAAACGGAACAGCCTTCCATCATTGGATCTTTTGTGAGTTTTCAAGCAAGACGAATGTGCGCGGCGCGACGGCGATCCATCCGATAAATTGTTGCAAATTTTGAGGACGAAGTTGCGCGGCGTTGCAACGAGAGCCACACTTTGAACACGACCCGCCCTTATCCGTGAAACTGCTGCAAATTCCAGGCTTCAGGGCCGTGAATGGTGAGGAAGTCTCAGGCGAAATGCCTGGCCCGCCCTGACGACACGTCTGGAGGTGCGACAGGGAGGAGTTATCTATCAAGAAAAGCGATACAGGAGGATGAGGAGGGGGGGGTGGAGGAGGAGGGAACGGGTTGGTTGGTTGGTGGGTGGGTGGGTGGGTGGAGGAGGAGGAGGAGGAGGAAAAGGGGGGGGGACTGGGAAGCGAGGGAGGTGTGGAGGATGCCGAGTGGGAGGGGCGATGGGAGGCGCAGGGATCTTGGCAGGACGCGCGCGCGTGCGCTTGTCGTCATGTGAGCGGCGCCACAGGGAGGGGGGAGGGGGGCTGTCGGAGGGGGTGTCGTGGACGCGCGTGCGTGCGTTTGTGGTCATGTGAGCGGCACAACGAGGAGGGGGCCTGTCGGATGGGGCGTCGTGTGTCTTGGCGCGACCTGCCACTCGCCACCGCCGCCGCCCTGGCCAGCATCATATTTTCGCTTGTCGTTTCGGCCGAGGCCTTCCCTTTCGAGCGCCTCCGCGGCTCTGCGTGCCAACAGCCTCACTACCTGGCCCTCGTCTACTCCTCCTCGTCCTGCTGCTCTCCCCTCCTCCCCTCTCCGCCTCTTCTCCTCCACTTCGCCCTCCTCCCCCCCTCCTCCCTCCCTCGTCGTCCTCCTTCTCCTAACGGTCCGGGGTGCCTGTATCAACTTAACGCCCAGGGGTCCGCCAAGTGTTGCAAGCTTTCTGCTGCCTGGGACAGAGACCCCCAACGGTCTTACCCGTATCCTCTCCTGCTCACTCTTCCTACTCCCTCCTTCTCTCCCTCCACCTCCTCCTCCTCCTCATGCTCCCCGCTCTTGTCCGTTACTCTTCCTTCTCCTCCTCCTCCTCCTCCTTCCGACTCCCCACTCCTCCTCCCCGCCCCTCCTCCCTGCCCCTCCCCCCCCCTCCCCGCTCTGGAGC